AGATGATACATATGATTTATGTATCAAAAAGAAGGGTACAAAAGTGAGTAGAGCACATCTTCTGCAAGAATTTAAAAGTATTAGCTTTCTGCTGAAAGCGCCTTTGCACACAGGTGCATCTCTTTTCAGCAATGGCCTGTGGGCATGGCTCAGAATCCCTCAAAACAACTGCCGGGATCCTGAAATTCCTCGTCACACTTTATTCCAGGTTTTGTATGCAGTTTTCTGGAATCAGTTACTAGATGAATTGTCTCAATAAACCAGAAGATGTGATATCTTCAAATTCAGTTTTTGATAAACAGGGTAAGTTTGAAGTTTTGAAAGGAAGAATTGTAATGTATGTATATATGCATACATTTATATAAGTTTATTTTAGCAGGAAAACCCTGAAGTGGCATATATGCCAATGTTGTCTTAAATCTTCCCTTCCCTCCTACCTGTTGCAAAAGCAAAGACCAAAACCAAAATGAGTAGTAACTACAACTATTCACTACACTTAAAATTTCTACAACTTGGTAAGAGTGTTTGCCAAATTGAAGCTCATTAAAAAATTAATGGGACTACTGGCCACAATTTATCAAGGAAATAAATGTTCTGAGTGCTACAGGAAGCCATCTGAGAGCTTTTGGTGGAGTTTTATTGCTCTGCACTGGGTTTCGAAACTAAGCATAAAGCTCAATGTGAATCAATTCTGGGGCATCACATCATTTATCTTACGCATGTTGCTAATCCTCTGCTTGTCCATGGCTTCAGTGCCCAACTTTTTCAGCATCTCTAAGTGCTCCACATCTCTGGAGGATGATGCAATGGACACATGGCTTTTTATTTATCAGAGAAACGTTGGGTGAACCCACCCAATTCCTCCTGAAGTTGTATCATAACAGACAGCTGGATATATGGAAAGTTTTCAAAGATCTATTGGATTGTTTTCATAAAGAGTTTTGATGTCAGATAGATGGTGTGTGTGTGTGTGTGTGTGTTGAGTAGCCATTGCAGAAAATATAAAAATAAACAAGACTCAGTAATTAGTATGAGCCTACACAAAATTCAACATGGAAATGTCCCATCTACTTCAAAATAGCTGATCAAAATGGGTCAGAATAATTGGATAATTAGCCTGTTAATGGGACAATCATCCAATTTTGAAAAAGTAAAAATAAATAATTCTTAGAAGGAGCATCACTAACACCAATTTCCCACTTCCAGTTTCTCCCAACAATCTGAATATTTCCATGACCAATCAGGTAAAGCTCTAAGGCTATGTTTTATTACATTTTATTGCAAGTTGGATGTTATTCCTATTTTATATACCACAATTCAAAACTGTCTGGACCTTAGAATATTATCAGCCCTCTCTCCCCATTTTTAAACATTTAGGCTTTTCTTTGAAGCCTGTGTGCCTAAAGTGAGTTCAGATTCACTGTCTGAGACATACGGAATCTCAAATCTCTAGCATTCGAATTCATGACTGTAAACTGTAAGCATCAGTAGCAGTAGACTTAGGAAAACATAATCACCCATCTATCCTCCAGCCAGCTCCTTTTGGAAGTACATAGAAAACATGTACCTACAAAAAGGCACTACCCCTAAAAGGGTAGGGCCAGTGCTTTCCTTCAGAAGGGGGACAGAAGCCTTTTGGAAACTTCCCCATGTCGTGGCCTCTCAGTGCATCCAAAGCCACCTAACGGGTATGTGTGCTGGCAGGGGTCCCAGCAGGCCAGGACATGGTTGGGAATATATTTTCCAGAAAAAGAGGACTTTCTGGCAGTTCCTCCTTGTGGGGTCAACTAGGATGTGCTGAGGAAGAAGTGCAAACTCCAGCATCCGTCTTCCCTTGCCCCCTTATACACAAGATCACAGCCTGGGTAGTTCACCAGCACATTCCAGAAAATTGCTGAGAGGGTTCTCTGGTGTTACTGTCAGGTGCCTATTGAATCAAAATTCTTCCCTTATATCCATTCTAACCCCTCCCAAATAAATCCCAGAACAGTGGAAGCAGTGAAAATAGCAACATCAGCTATCTTGCATCACTGGAGAGCAGCTCATTTAGAACCGCATTCTCAGTTGATAACTCAAGACACAATCGTGCATGGCAGGGATCTGGGCAGAAATAGGCCAAGTGCTTATTTCATATACGAAACCTTCCCTGTTCCTAGGTTGGCAATCATTATGCATGGGAACTTTACCTTATCCCATGATTTTGTCTTTGAGAAATTTAGCATGGAACTACAGTTTCTAAAGATATCATAGAAAGTGTGTGCTTGAAAGAAAAAAAAAATCAAGCTTCAGATCAAATGTTTTGCCTAAGACTAAAGCTAATGAAGACCAATATAAAAAGTACCAGTCAAAATAATGCAAATACTCTGTCCATGTCCGGCGTATATTTATAAAATGCACAAAGAGTGGTAAAGCATTTTTAGATGTCAACACCTTTTCCCTCCAACCTGGGAAAAACATATATATATATATATATTAAGTAGACTCCACACCCATGGTGGAGCCCAATGTGGGTCTTGAACTCGGGACCCTGAGATCAAGACCTGAGGCTGAGATCAAGAGTCGGGCACTTAACCGACTGAACCACCCAGGCACCCCTAGGGGAATATATTTTTTTACATAGTTAAATAGAAGTTGGTGCTGTGACTTACTGGCAATTTTTCTTCTGATTCCTATAAATGAATTCCGTTGCTTCAGGTGGAAACCTGGCTTGTGCACTAACCTTGGTCTACTTTTAGATCTGGGCAATTATTTCTTGGGAGTCACTCGGGGTAAGAATGTGGCTTATTATAAGGATGTGTTAGTCTCTCTTTTCAGGAGTTAGCTTCAGGGAAGTCTGAATTTTCACATTTGAAAAGTAGTCAGGTCAGACAGGATAAAGAACTTGAACGTTGCTGAACGTTATCAGCAGTGCTGGAATCTCTTCCTCTCACGCCAGCTGAAAGAATTCCTAAGAGAGCGTTGCATGGACTCTACAGGATGACAGATACAAAGTCCCTGCGAGATTTAGAGGAGACCCACGATTTGTGACTTCATACTTGCAATCCACCAGACATTTGCCAGCCTTCCAGGTGAGTCCACCCAGAAAGAGTAGAAGCACGAATACCTGGCCACTTCCTTCCACACATACGGGTCAGTGTAGTTAAAACAGGCAACACTCTAGGAGAGGAAGTAAAGCGCGCTGCTCAAGGAAGGATACAGAACAAAGAAGTTTATTTTACACTATCCGTCCAAGAAAACAATCTCCATAAACCAGTGCAAAATGTGCAACAGAATCAATATGTGTGTCTTAGCTCTGAGAGCCCAAATTGGTGATTTCCTCTCCCGTTCCTCCTTCGGGCAGGTGCCCCATCGGCTAACGCTGGCCTCGGTTTGCACCATTGACAGAAACATTCAACCAATTTGTAGCAGGTTATTTTTACAATTCATACCAGAATGTGTACAAGGGATGGGGGGGGGGAAACCATACTGAATGAATGATAAGTGATCAGTGCTTAAAGTAAATACAGGGGGCAGCACGGGCAAGAATCCACAGTTTCAATAAATACAAGTGTAACAAGCATGGGTGGGTCTCAACTCGGTGGAATTAGTCTGCATAATAATTCAGCATCATACAAAATCTAGCAGGGCTGTTGAGCAGTGATTGGCAACAATGTTCACAATAACTTATGCCCTTGAGCGAGTCTTGCATTGAACACATTCTGCGGTTCCAAAGGTGTCAGTCAGTTCTCTGTTTTCTCCTTCCCTGGCCATCCTCCAGGATGGGAGGGGCGGAGCTGGGGCAGCTTGGTGGAGGCGTCCCATGAGGAAGGACGCTGGCCCAAGAGCCAGCTGTCAGGGTCCAGTGTACTCAATACCGAGTGGCAAATCGGGACTTTAGTGACGACGTCTGTGCAAAGTGTGCTTCTCTCCATTTTCCAAGAAACCAGTGTCTGTAACTCCTGCACGAAAAGCAGTGGTGGCCTCTGGGTCACTCCCTGTAACCCCAAATACCAAGCGACGAGCGCGCATCTCAGGGACTCACGGGCTGGGAAGCTTCTGGTGCTGACTGCCTGGCACCTCACGGATGGGGAATGTAACCAGGGCCCCTCATCCAAGGCCTCAGGCAGGCTAGAACTATTGCTTGAGAGACTAGAAGGAACCTAGTGAGAAAAAGATGATCCTAATGGCTATGTGGGAAGCTGTCTTCCTTGAAAGCCTCGTGCCCCCTAGGTAACGCCTACAGGACTTCCGGGAGGCGTCCACGGATATGAAACTTCACGCATCTGTTCCCGGTGGCCCCGCCCACGTGTTCCTCTACTAAGTGCCAAATCCATGCATATTCTACCGTGCCTGGGATGTGATCCCAGAACACATGGCAGGGACAACCTGTGGATCGTCTGCTAATCCAGAGCCCAGTGAAAGAAGATTCAAGAGAAGCTCTCCGTCTCTGGAAGAAAAGGAAGAAAAGGGGGAAGCCCCCCACCAAGTGAAACAACCTCCCCAAACCCAGTCACCTAGGCATTACCTCAAAACATAACGAAATCCCAAACACTCCCTAGCATCGATATATCCTCTCCTCTCTATTCCTTTGACAGTCTCAGGTCATAAATTAGGTTTGTCTTCCATCCAATAACTTAAAAAAGGAGGAGGGATTGTAATAAGTTTTGCCTGGCTTGGGCCAGTTAGCAGCCAGTTTTTTTTGTTTGTTTGTTTGTTTTTTGTCTTTTCCTAGAATCTCAGTCACTGTTCAAAAATGGAGCTTGAAAATTCACGCGGATGTCAGAGTCTTCACACGGAGGAGACAGGAAGGGGTGGGTGGGAGAAAACCAGGGAGGAGGAGCGGGAGCAGGGAGGGGCGGGGACAGCCTGGGCCACCGAGGCAGAAGCGGAGGCCTGTGACCAGCGCGGGAGAGCCGGAGGCCCCGGCCCCGGGGCGGGGGCGGGCCGCGTGACTCCGGGTGCGGCTGGATCTTGTATTGCACAGAAAAGGAGGCCCAAGGCTCGACGGGCGGCCGGGCGGGTCAGTGGTCCCCGCACATGGGCAAGTTCACAAACGTGAACACGTTGAACTCCGTCATGATGGAGAAGCACAGGAATACGCCGTACAGGAAAAGGCACCCGCACCCGAGCTTCTTGTCCAGCTGCCACTTGTTCAAGTGAACGCCAAACACCTGCAACACACAGCGGGGTCAGAGGGTGCGGGAAGAGGCGGCACGAGGTGGGGGGGGGCGCTTTGCGGGGTCTGGGGGCGGGGCCGCCAATGCCTCGCAGGGCACCGAGTGTCTCTGAGCCCCCCAAGCCCATCGCTCACGTTTTGGAAGATCAGAACACTGAAATCAAGAAGGGAAGTCAGAACTTTAAAATAACTTTAAAAAGTCATAATGATGGGACCAATCGACTCAGGCACCGCGGCCACCACACTTGCCCTGGACTCCGACCCAGCACTGCTCTGTGCCCGAATCACCTGTTCTGACTCTTCACCCTCTTGTCCCCAAGCAGCCCCTGGCTCTTCCTGAGGACACATCTCCTGGCAGGTGGTGGCCGCATCTCTTCCATTCCCACGCCTGGAGGCAAGGGAGTTGTACCCCTTGCTCCTCACTGCTGCTTCCCCAGAAACACCCAGCTTGGAATCTAAAGCCTTCCAACAGTCACAATCCATCCCATCTGGCTACAGTCCACACTGCAAACCCGGACTCCCCCACTCCCCCTTCCCCAGATCCCCAAGTCCCACTCACTGCCACTCCTATCTACAGCACCCCGACGTTCTTCCCAGCGATTTCACCGTCCGTGGAGAGGATCTTCCCAACACCTGTCCTCAACCCCATCTCCCACCCTGCACCTGCACTGCACCCACTAGTCTCATGTGGCCGCCCAAATCTGAACGTAAGTCAAAGAATATTAAAAACTCAGTTGCTCAGTTGTACTAGCCACATGTCACGTGCTCCACATCCACACATGGCCAGTGGCTGCTGTCAGGGCAGGTGCAGGCCACTGACCAGTTCTGCTGGACAGCCACGCAGCCGAGAGCCGGCGATGAGCAAGAACAGAAACAACTCTACGCTCTCAATGTCCTTCATCCCGCTCTCTGCCATCTCCTCTTTCCGTCTTAGTCCATCTGGTACCCTCCCTCCCACAACTCTGCAGACCTGCAGGACCCAGAATTCACAGCTACCCACCACCATTCTGCTGCATGCCACCCCCTGGACCCACCTCTGTCCCATCTTACGCTGCCAAAATCCCACGAGCAATCGCTAGAACCACCCCTGGGCATCCACCACATTCACTGGTCTCTCTGGCGCTCCCATGGCGGAGCCACAGCCTTGGGTTCAAGCCCAGCTTCCAGGGACTCCACATTGCTTCCGTGCTGCTGACCCAGGCTGGAGGAAAATGCCTGGCCATGCTGAAGAGTCTCACTTTAAATTCAAGCCCATAAACCTCAAGTGGGCCATTTATGGCAATCATCCCACATTTCCCTAAGTGCACTGTCTCCCCCTTCCTTGGATGGCTGTTTCCAGCCTCTCCCCTCTTCTCAGACCCCCCACACCCACTTCTCCACCTTCACTCTCAGCACGTGACCATGTTCCATCCACAGAGCTCCCACCACCAGACCTACTTGCTCGCCTTCTCTCCTGCTAGTGAGGTCCCACTGCCCATGGCCCTGTCCATGGCCCTGTCCACTCCTTCACACGTGTACACAATCCCACTGCCCCCACCATTCAAGAACATGGCCCCAGCAACTGCCTCCCTTTCATCTCCATCTCCCTGCCCCATCCCTGGATTACTCTAGCTGGGATACCAGAATGCTGCTACTTCTCTCCTCTTAAAAAACAACTACATTTTTTCTCTCCTTTCTTTACAGCAAGATGACTTGAAAGAGTTGTAAATACCACTGTGTCCGATTTCTCTCCTTCCATTCTCTGTGCAATTGTCCTACTCAACCTTCTGCCTCATTGCCCCACACAACCACCCTCTCATTAAGAACATCAATAATGTTGTATTGCTAACTTGAATGGCCAATGCTCAGGACTCAACTCCTGTGACAGAGCCTATCACTCCCTCCACCCTGAAATACCTTCTCCACTTGGCTTCTAGATGCCATACTCTCCTGGTTTTCCTCCTACCTCTCTAACGGCTCATTCTGTTTCTTTTGGTGTTTATTATCATCATCCTGACCTCTAACTACCAGAGGGCACCAAGACTCAGATGTTGGGCCTCTTCTCTTTTCTGTCCTTCCTCACCCCCTTGCTGCCTGCATCTAATTGCTCGGCTTTAAATACCATCCACATTCTGGGGCCTCCAGCTTGGACGTTTCTTCTGAACTCAGAGTCATCTTTCCAGTGGCTTTTTTGGCCTCTCCCTTGGGTGTTGAACAGGCACTGCAAGCTCAAGATGTTTGAAATTGCTCTTCCCCCACCCCTGACAAACCTACTTCTCTTCCATCTTCCAGCAACCCCATTTCAACATCCCAGGTGGTGGCTAGCCCCATCTCCTACAGGTTGTACAAATGTAGCTGTAAGCATGCACTCTGATGTCGGATGGCTTGCCTGTTCATTCATTTGGTGTCAATTTCTCTAGAGGCCTCAGATGTTCATCTGTATAATGGGGTTGATGTAGTGTCTATCTGATGGGCATGTGGTGAGCTCCAATGGGAAAATGTATGCAAAGCATTGAGCACAATGTGTGGCTATGACAGGTACCATAAGCCTAAGTCACACGAGACCCAAAGAACCTCCTAAGCTACAGAACAAAGGATTGCATAGATTCTCACTTTTGTGTAAGGCAGTGTTTGCTTTAGTAAATCCTTGACATCTAACTTACAGCCTGATCCTGTCGATGACCTCCAGCTTCCTGCCTGCTCTTCTAAATTCCTATTCTCTAGCATATGGACGTTCACATGCCAGTGTAATTCAATGACTGTTTCCTTGAAAATTTTAAGAAGAAACACATTGTGTCTCAATGTTTTCTAATGTGAAAATTCAACTGCATAATTGTATGTTAACAGATACTTCATGTGGACCAGTCCATGTGTTGGTGTGAATCAATTCCCACCAAAATATGTCAGCTGAGTTGGAATATCAAATCATACAAGTAGATATAATGGCCAAGATAGCAGAATGGCATAAAAGTACATTGTCAGTAAAACAATGTGTTCTTAGTCTCTGAGTATTGGTCAAATCCATGGATTTATGGAGATGCTTATTAACCTGGAACAGATAATTAATTGGAATCTACCCTTCTCTTGACTAATCTTGCAGAAAAAGTGGGATCTCCCCTTTGCTTTTGATAAAATGGCTTGGGCTTGGCATGAGGCAGGGCCATGCTTCTCAGAGGAGGGCTGGCTCCTTTCACAAAGAGGGAAGGCTTTCTAGGGAGTTGCTAGGATCCACTTCTAAAGGAAACAGCCATGAAGGAGATGGGACATCTGGAGGCCGATTGTCCCCATCCACCCGGAGGCCAAGCCCATCTGTTGTCCAAACAAACTCTGTAGCCAAAGAACTCAAGGGCGGGAGTGGGGGTAAGGGGAAAGGAGTCACAGGAACTGGAGGGCGGAAGGAGCTGTAGCCCTACCGTGACAAAGACGGAGGCCAGGAGTAAGCCCACGGAGTAGATGAGTCCTCTGCTGTTTAGCCGAATCTGTAAGAAAGGATGCGCTGTTAGTCTTCTAAAAAGGCATCTGTTCAGTGCAGGGGCTGAAGCAACTCTGAATAGTGGGCAGTCCAAATCTCTGCTTTAGTATGGCAAACAAAAGGGAGCTTCGACAGCCATGCTCTGCCGCTGGGAGCAGGGACGTGCACTTTCCTAGGACAGCCAGGGGCTCCCTTGTCTAGTCCCCTCTCAGTCCAACCCCATTCTTCCCTCCAGAGGCAGTGCCCACTGGGCTGCCCCATGGCCACTTGAATTCCCTGTCGTGTGTGGCCTGATTCTTGGTGCCCACAACACTTCCCTGTGGACCTGACCTCCAGGAAGCATGTGCTTTCTTGACATACAACTTTTAGGGTAAATCTTGTGACGTGAGGGATGGGAGCAATATTTTGAAAAAATATTACTAAACTTTTTGTCTCTTTTGCATTAAATTGTCTGTGAACTCCCCCCAGACTTGACGGGAAGAGATGGATAAGTCTTGCTCTTGTAGGCAAGCAAAGAAGAGGAAAGAGTTAACATTCCATTCCTGATATTCCTAAAAGGATTTTGTTTTGTTTGTCTTTCAGAGTAAGACAGTGGGGTTAGCTGCCAAACACTGAAGAGAAAGAGAGAAACAATTTTTGGAATTCTTATAAAATAGCGCTGTCCAGTAGAACTTTCTGCCATGATGAAAACGTCCTGTATCTGTGTTGTCCCATATGGCAGCCATTAGGCAAATGTGGCTCGTACAACAGAACAAAAATTTTAATCTTATCTTCAATTAATTCAGATTTACATTTAAAGAGACATGTGTGATTAGTGGCTGCAGTATTGGGCAGGGTCCAATATTTAGAGGCCAACCGGGCCAAAAAATATTACAGAGTTTCTTTCATAGTGTAGAGAAGATGTCCCTTCTGCCTTGACCTAGGTCAAGGTCATGAGGTAGGCTACCCTGAAATAGGAAGTATGCCTTAGAGCCGCCATGCTCAAAGTGTCCTCCCTGGACCAGCGTCACCTGGGGGCTTGTTAGAAATGCAGGATCTCAGGCCGCACCCAGACCTCCTGAATCAGAAACTATGGGGATGCGCCCATCCAAGTGTTTTAATAAACCCTCCAGGTGGTTCTGATGTGTGAGAAAGTTTAAGAAACACTGACTTTAAGCCAGTACTGAGGCTAAATCCACATCTGATCTCCACGGGTTTTGGGCCTGGGACTTTGACATTCATTTTCCCCAGTTCTCTTGTAAAGTCTTATCTGCATGGAGGTTTCGGGACAATAGAACCCCCCACCAACACGCACTGTCTTGCTGGGAGTCAAAGGCTCATCTGTATCCACAGGAAGGAAAAGCAAGGCAGGTTGATCATTTCATTAGAGAACTGAGTGGTGATTATTAGAAGTGGTTTGGGGCCCTTCTGACAAGGTCCAAGGCGCCTCTTGCCACTCGTTTACCAGTTCAACCCTGGGGTGTAGGTATGGGAACATGTGGGTGTCTCTGTAGGTGGGTGTGTTCGGTTTACCTTTTGGTGACAGGAAACTCCATGCCCTTAACAGTCAAAACCTTTGTGTGGGGACCCAGGAGCATAACATATCTCTTTATGCAATGTTCTGACCCTCTCCCCTGCTGGCACAATCCACGTGAGCCAACCATCTGCTGAACCCCAGCTGGAAATTATTCCCAGCCACCAAATGCCTTTTTAAGAGCAAAGGACTCAAATCATCTCTCTCAGAAACACTTTTGAACTATTAACTGTCAACATTGCATGGATTCTGTTAGGCACGTGGTCAGTGCATTCCCGGCCCAGCTCACCCTTTGAGCTCTAGGGTTGAATCCTTGTCAGCAACAAGAATTGAGTAAAGTGATTTCCTGCCCCTAAGAAACCAAGAGCCAGTGAGAGCCAAGCTCTAAGCAGGAAAATTCTCTTTGGCCAAGCCTTCTGTCTTTTCAAAATCAATCATATTCAACTAGAGCTTTGCAACTTTACTCTTCCTCCACTGACATAAAATCTCAAAAGAGTGGTGCTTCTAAAATTGTAAATCTGGCTCCAAAGACTAAAGACAACTGACTTGGTGGGGTTTCTGAGTATTTTTCACGTTTTCACCTTTTCCTCTGCAGTGTTCCTTTGGTAACAGATTGCCACACGCACCCAGGGGTAATTTTTGTTTTTTTCGTTCATTACAGACCGGAGCTCTCAAAGCCTGTATTGATTCCTTGCTATCTGAATCCCCACCTCCACATGTACATGACAGTCAGGAATTAGGTTTTCTTCAGTTGCCTGTGGGTCCAACTTGAGCATCTCCCAATCACTGGAGACTATGGATGGTTTGGGGCAAGAGTTGGCCAACTAAAATCTGGCCCATCGCCTGGTTTTGTAGATGAAATTTATTGGAGCTCAGCTCGTTCATTTGTATATTGTCTACTTCTGCGGTGGCAGAGTCGAGAAGTTCCATAGTGACCATATGGCCCACGAGGCTTAAAATATTTCCCCTCTGGCCCTTTCCAGAAAGTCTGCTGACCCCTGGTTTAGGGCACAGGCTCCAGATCCAGTTCACCGAACCCCTTCTGAATCCCTGCTCCGTCACCGAGTTGCTGTATCATCATGAAAAATGACTTAACTTCCCCATGCCCCAGTTTTCTGAGAAGTAAAATGGAGATAATACAATTCCCACCTCATGAGGTGGTTGTGAGGATTAACTGAATTAATCCATGTTAAAAAGCTTGAATAGGACCTAGTGTATAGTGAGTTCTCAATGTGTCTGGGCCATTCTCCATTCAACTCATGAGCTGCCTAATCCTTTCCCTGGTACCCCTGGCTGCTTCTTTTATAAACTCACCACCCAGCAGCCCCCTGATCAAAGCCTCAGTAGATGACAAACAACATAAGGGCGGGGAACCACGTCTGACTTTATCCTCCGCCGGGCACAAGGCTGAGCATAGACCACATGCTTCAATATGTAACCAATGAACAGACGATGAATCCATTTCCTTGCAGAAGTGAAATGGAGCAGGGTGGACTGCTCAGAGAGAGGCTGGGAGCAGGGATACCCTGGCTGCCATTTCTGGATGGTGTTCCAGAAGCAATGCAATCCTGTCCAACATTCCGTGTCCCCTTTCCCCACTTTATATTTTTTTAAGAATCCTTTTTTTCACCTAACATTTTATTATGAAAGTTTTCAAGCGTTCAGAAAAATTGAAAGAATGACACCATTTTATTATACCATTTTACCAAAGGGCTCAATTATAGTTCAAAGGTCTTTTGTTTCTAGATGCAATTTCCGTATGGTGAAATTCACAAATCATGATTGCACTGTTCAGTGGGTTCTGAGAAAAGCATATACCTGTGTTACCTCAACTGTGGCCATGATAGAGACCACTTCCATCCTCCCCAGAAAGTTCTCTTGTTCCCTCATCAGTCTCACCCAGGATCAATCACTGCTTCTAAGCTTAGCCCGTCCAAGAAACTTCATATAAATGGAGCCCTATAATGTGTGTTCTTTTACACCAGGATTCTTTTACTCAGCATCATTTTTAAAGATTTCTTCATTTCCTTCGTACTTTTCATTGCATCAATAGCTCATTTCTTTTTATAACAGCATAAATATATCACGGCTTATTAATTATTCTCTTGTTTATGGACATCTGGCTTGCTTCTAGTTTGGGGCTGTTAACATGCATTGATTTTATAATTCACAAACACAACGAAAAGAGACCTACAGTGGCCCCTCTCACCCACAGGAGAAGCAGGAATGGAGATAACGAAGACAGCCAGGGGCTCTGCTGGGACCTCAAACACGCTCTTTCACGCACCAGTATCCCCTCTCACTAGCTGGGCACTAGGAGCCTCTCCAAACAGGGCAGATCCACTTTCCTCACCTTAGTACACTGCTGTCTCCCTTTTGGAACCTCAGTCTTGTCAGATGGGGTGCGTACCTCCTTTTTACCTCACCTCTATTCTGCCCATCCCTCCCTCAGTCCTTTTGTCTCTTCCAAGTTCACTGAGCCCTCGCTGGCCCTGTCCCCACTTCTGATGCAGATCGTGTCCTGACCTTGCCTGGGTAGCCTTCTCACCGCCCCAGCTAGTCCCACTGCTCTAATGGCAGATGCCTGGGTCTTCAGTTTCGCCTCCTTCCACCTAGGACCTAGCTCCCCACTTGTCTACATATGTTGTATATTTAAATAAATATCTGCGGGTGATGCTGAGCATGTGTGTATGCTTGTGCACATGTGTGAGTATGTGCACGTGTGTGTACACACATGGGGTGCGTGTGCACATTGGAGGCAGTAAGGCTGGGTGGCAAGGGGCAAGATTTCAGAGCTGGATGAGGAGACTGATGTGGGGTGGCTTTAAGCTGATCTTTTTAAGCAACACAGTGAGAGGGCACCAAAATAGGTTTTTTTGTAAAAAAAAAAAAGGCATAATTTGCATACAGTAAAGGCTCAAATCTCTCCTATTGGCTAAGTTTTGACAAATGCATGTACCCATGTAATCCACATCTCAACAAGATATAAAACATTTCCAGCACCCCAGTAAGTTTCCCCAAGGGCAGCAAATTTAACTCAACCCCCTTAAAATCGAGTTTCTTGGATCGTGCAAGCCAGCAATAGCACGGACCCGTCTCATCTCTGGACTACCTTTGCAAAAGACTTGGAGCTCTAGCCGTGCACAGTGTTGATCTAAACAATGGTTTCCCTGCTTCCTGAGTCACAGATACAGGGTCCATTAAGTGCAAATGCAGCAAATCTCCATGGCAATGCCCACCGAAGAGCATGCAAGGTACAATTGCCCTGACATTGAACACTGTTTTTATTTCTTTCCTTCAAAATAACGGAATTCATTCTCTAATTCCCTCATGGCGATTGTTGCAGAGAAAACAGAAGGCTGGCTGGTTGCCAAGTCAACAGAAATTAGACCATGATGCATGTATATTTTTTCATCTGCATGCACACACAGACACCCATTCAGACCTAGCTTTATTTCTGCACACGGTTCATAAGTAGTTCCCTAAATCCTACA